GCCTTCATACTTTATTCTTTATAATAGTTTCCATCCATCCATTATCTATAGCCCTTACCGTGTAGAGGGTTGCAGGGGAGCTGGAGCCAATCCCAGTTGACAGTGGGAGGGGGAGCACAGCCTGGGTCTATTATTATTAAATTTTATTTTTGAAAAATTTTGATGTGAATATTGCTATTTGTAGACTGTTAACCTTGTTTAAAAAAATCCACTATCCCTTTTGGATCATCGGTGTAATTACCAAGAGCAATAATTAATTAGAAATATATTTCTACATAATTATTTAATAAGTATATTTATCTCATGCCTCAGGCATCTCTGGAATATAATCAGTTCATTTACTGAGCAGGAGAAGAAAACCATTTTTATGTTGATGACAGACAGACTGCATACTGCAGTGTATTGTGTAGCTTCTTCTGCATTTAAAAAATGTGGTCATGAGAAATTATGTCTGAGCTGCAAATCAGGAGACTGGATAGTGCTAGTGGATTGATGGATGTCACACACTAGCACAGTATGCTCTGACTGCATTAACTCTCCCACAAAATATTAGCAGAGCTCCCTGGATGCAAGGTGTGTGTGTCAGTGAGAGAGTGAGAATGATAGCAAATGTTAAAAAGAAAAGACAGAAAACACAAAAAGGTAAGTGTATCTTCACAGGTCTGACCCAAACTGATAAAACAAATTATTGTTATTATTTCTTCCCATCTATTACGCCCTCTCTGAGTCATACTTATTCTCTCTCTTCCACCCATTGTTTTGCGTCTCTGTATTCAAAATTAATGTAATTACTGAAGGTGATTCTGGCTGCCCTTCTCGTCAAACAGCAGCAGTGTAACCTCTTGATTTCAGATTTAAAAATTGGTCAATTTAAGTGGATGTTGAAAATGATTTATAAAAAAAAGCCACTGCCTTTCAAATGTGATTTCTAAGATGAGGCAGGTGTTTTTTATTTTTGGAAATTGGGACAAATTCCTTCATTAGCCACAATCTGACTCTGTGATCTAATAGATAAGGCATCAGCCTCTGAAGGTTTGGGATTATGGGTTCAAGTTCTTGTTTGGCTTTTGGAAAAAATTACATAAATAATATAGTGTTTTAAATGCAGCAGTGGAATAAATAAATACTGCCCTGCAAGCCTCTGAAATGCTGCTCAGTATGGGATGTAATCTGCAAATGTTTCATACCGTCACCATCGGACTCTGTGAATATGTGAAAACATCAAATCTATGAGAAACCTAAATAGAATACATGTTCCAGTAATTATTGTACAAGTTATTATGTCTGGTCAAACGGGCCTTCTTCATGCTGCCTTTCCATGAAAACAGGAAAATAAATTTTACTGTACTGTAGCTCAACAGCTAACACCCATACAACCATGACAGACACCTTATTATAGTCATTTAGCTGCAGCAGGTTGGTTGTCTGAGGGGAGGTCATCCTGCCATAACAGGCTGCTCAGATATCATTACTGCAGGGCTGCTGAAGCATCGGTGAGCAAACACTGCCTGTGTGGACGCACTGCGATTGAGTGGGGAGGGACAGTGATAGAGCTGTACAGATGGTAGTATTCAGGCTCATTCTCCAACAGCCACCAAGAAGAATCTGCACAGAAACGATGCTCTCATGGTGACTTGAATTTTTTGCAGTGTTTTGATCCACCACAGATTATATACAAGCATTGCATACAATATAATGCATGTAGAGAAGAGGCAGGTGAATGGAGAGCTTTGTCACAAAGCAGGACAGCAGTTTGTTACAACTGATCCACTCTCTATAGGCACAAAAATGACTACAGAGTTGAATTAGCACTTTCACTACACTGGTACATATGTGATCATATTCATGCACTAAAAACTTTCAGCCATTTATGTAACAGTGGCGATTACAATTTATGACCCTGTGATTCCAAAAGAAAAAGATTTCTCTAAAGACATTTTGACATGTCATAGCAGAAGGGCACAGCTGCAACTAATGACTAATGATGGCTCTGTTATATGCAGGCGTGCTAGTGACCCAGCCTGCACAATAGCAGGACACCGCCTAGATGGAATGCAACTATCATGATGCTATTACCTGCACTGACTTGACAAGTTCAAATGTCTGCCGTAAAAAAGGTGCGTGTATGAATGAATATTTTACTCGGGTTAGACACTATTATATGTTCTCTCTCTTGAAGGCGCTTTCAGATGACACATCACGCATGCTCAGTGGGATTGATACTCAAAGAACTTTACTGTATAAAGTTGTAATGTCGTTGTTAAATTAGTCATAGATAGATAATCCAATATCAAAATGGCTTTTTCCTGGACAGGGAAAGCAGCATAATCTCTTTGGTCATCATGACAGCCAGATCCAGATTCACTGCGGCTAGGGATTTGTTGGTTAATGAGAGCTAATGATGGAAATGTGTGTGTATGAGTGTCTCAAGATGGCATTGCTGTACATAATGTCTGCCATGGGGCTGAATCCGGGCCAAATGTAGTTATGTTTTTAGTTAATTTAGGATGCAATGAAGAGCTCTGGTGGTCTAATTGATCAGTACAAGGCCTCCATTAAAGGAACCTCAAGGGACACGGACTATGATGAGTGTGTGGAGTCTGTGTCTGTGTGAGAGAGAGGGACAGATTATGAAAAAGGTATAAAAAGTAATATGTGTATGGATATATGCTTGTGTGAAATGAAAAATATCTTAATATCAGTGATGGCAGACTAAACAAAGTGTGTTGAGTACACAGGGAAGCAGAAAGTGAATCTTTGTGGCAAGGCTTGTATCAGTCAGAGAATGTGATGTCACTAATTCAGGATGTGCTTCAAAAGATATAAGGGGTAGTGGGCAGT